TTCCTAACCCTATACCTCCATCATAATGTTGTGGAAATGAGTATATTTTTTATGGCATAGGAAGATGCAGGTTGTATATACATTGTGATCTCCTGCATAGCTAGGCAGACAGACATTTTGAAATGTTGCAAAAAAGTGTTGCAACTATTATGCCATATGTAGTAAGGATATATTTACACCGACCACAAAATTAAGAGTTGAGTAGCATTGATCAACCAGTTAGCCTACGATTTTCATGATACTTTGCCACAAAGATATTAAAATTGCACTGAAGAAGGTTCATATGACACATGCCTTAAGGTCAAACTGACTTCAAATCAAACTACTTTCTGACTGATTAATTTATTTCTTGTTTGACCACTTTGGGCACCTATTGCAATTGCAATTATTGCAATTAATGCAATTATATCATTAAATGAAAGGCATTCAGTAAATATAGGAAAAACTAACCAAACAATATGATGATGTCATGGTTAAAGTAATAGCCTGCCCTAATTTGTTGCAAGATTGAATTTAACATCCTTTATTTCCATAGACATGCAATATAAAATATGTTAATGCATATCTTATACGCATACTACAGATATGTGATAATATACACATGATTCACTCATATTTTGGCATTAAAAGAGATTATTTTCTATTTATAGCAAGATACAAGGCAAGACATGTAAATACATAACAGATGCTTTAACATATTGCTTTCATTGGGGGAAAAAATGGTACAATTTATTTGCTTTATTCTGCATTCATAAATTAGAATGAGTCAATGAAGTCAATGAAATTAACTACTTTTCCTCAGGTAAAACTTTGAATCATTTGACTGTATGATCTGGTGAACTCTAAAGTGCCTTGAGTTGACGATTTGTGAATTGGTGCTATAGAAATAAACTGAAATTAATAAAATGTATTATGCTATAATATTTATATTTATTGAACTGAATATACTGTAGGCATATAATTTTGCAACCAATCCGTATAGGGATTGGCTGGGTTCTTTCTAAAAAGTGAGGATTATAGAAATAATTGTTTAAAAAACTTAGTCAACTAAGTCCTTTACCATTGATAGAATCTATTTTTCCTGGTAAACTGTCCAATGTGTGTTCATCAGGTATATAAGTCTAAATGATTAAGAAAAAACAAAACAGAAAACTCTGGGCTATTAAGATTCCACTGTGTAAAATCTATTTTCTGTAGCCTATCCAGCAAGGGTTTGAGAGAGGTCTTCTTAAGCCTTAAAGCATAGCAGAATATTTTAATCTAAGTCACCACCCCATTGACTGTACTTTGTAAAGATTTTAACATTTCTTAGCCTAAGGGGTCTTAAATCTCTTTTAGATTTAAGTTAGAAGAGTCAGAAGGTAAGAGTTTCCCCTAAGCAAAACTGGAATTCAGATTTTCTTTGAATGTGTAAATGACTGCTTAGTTCGGCTAAAAGGATCATGATTAACTAAATCTTTTAAATCATTTGTTTTTCCTGTGGAAAGTTTAGTAATTAACCTGCTTTGGTTTTATTTCCTCTCTGGCTGGCAGTAATGAATAGACTAATGAATGCCATTATCCTGACCCTATCATTATGTGACATAAATAAATGTATGGAATAAAGTCATTATGTTATTATTATCTGTGGTATGTCCTGGATTATACTCTCTTCTAGAACATAAGAATAATTATTCAGCACTGGAACAAATCTGTGCTGATTTAAATGTGTGCTGTTTTAAATTGCCCATTAGGAAACAGAACACAAGAGCTAAGCTTAGACAAATATAAAAAAAAAAACACAGAGTGGACTTTCCCACACTCCCCAAATGATGTACAGTTAGCTGTATAAACATTTCCACCACAGTCTGGTTACAGAGTGAGCAAGAGGTACAACACTTGAATAAGTACCCACGGAGGGACAGGCCCTCCTTCACATAAAGCTGAAACAGCGAGCGCGTCCATGTAACTTCCTCTTCTTTGTGTCATGAGGCTCATGGTCATGGCTGCTTCCTCTTTTGCTTCATATCATCACTGACAACGTTGTTTATGCTTTCCCAGCACATGTTGAGGAGAGAGTTGCTGTAATAAGGGCTCCAGCTTGCTCAAGGATTTTAAAAATGTCTTCAGTCATGGATGGAGAGGTGCTGTCATTGTCGTCTTTTTCATCGTTGCCAACCTCATCAGCAACGGCAGGAACTCGGCAAGATGCTTCGGCCAAGCACACCAGCAGTCTTCCTCACGGCCCTGGAGATCACATCTCTACTAAGGAACTATGGTCTGTGTACAACATTTATACTTTCCTACACGTAAAAAGACCAAAATATATTTACGTATTTAAACGTTGTAAAGGATGAGATGAAATTGCTTCTTAGGAGGAGGGTCTTTCTGTTATATTTGTAGTTTCAGTTCATTTCACCTTTGTGTTTTTGTCATTCCTGTGTATTCTCTTACTTGAAAAGCAACATACCATAAATGTATGTAATGTTTCTTTCTTTTCTATGATCTTGAATATTTACAGAGTACATGAAAAAACAGAGGTTTATATGTTCAAGCAGTTCAGAGTGAACCTTCACCTCAGTCAGAGGTGGGGATGATGGGGGACTTTGGAGTTTCCCATGATGTCACACAAATGTAGGCTTCAGGTCACCGTTTCACTAAACTCACTCAGTAATTATGTAGAATTAGCCAATGGAATAGAAATATCAAGCCAATAAACTTGAAATAATTTGAATTTAAGGCACTATATTTACGTATATGTATATTTTTATTTATGCATATTTATGAAAGGCTATATATTTATTTATATATATTATGAAAACTGATTAGACAAAGCTTATAACTACATAGAATTATTATTATATTTTTTTTTAAGATATCATGACACAATTGTCAAACACACACAAGCTCAGCTTCCTGTTAGGAGTTTCAGATGAAACTGTCTGACCCTCTTCTTCTGTATCACATTCTGCATCATGTGCAAACACACTGAATTTAAATGTGTGACATTTTGACCTCAGAAATTCAAAACCATTAGAAGTAACCCTCACACTCTGGTTACAAAGACATGCAGGGTGTACTTCTAAAAGTACAGTTGATGCAACTGTATTGAGCTGGCAGGGCAGAGTATTTGACCTAGAAAGTTAGAATTTTAGGTCATCGTTGTTATATTTTTCTTCCCTTTTTGGCATGTAAAGTTTTTCTTTATGCTAAACTATATGAACTTTTAAACTGGTGGTTTTAAGTGGATGATTTGGCTGTTATTGCCTGCAGAAATATTTTTCTAAAGCCTCTTTCTGCTTTGTTGAATGCAGCAGAGTGAAAGTGGATAGGCATTTATTACTCAAAAGGGATATTTTCTCTGGGTTTTCCTTTCAGAAAATGGAACAATAGAACTTCCACTGATAACGTTTTTTTTTTTTTTTTTTCACTCAAACCACTTGGTACTGATGAAAAAAGCATCATACGTAGTAGAAACTTTTATGTCTAAATAAAAAGGGAAGTGATTTGTTTGTAGTTTTTTTAAATTAGATCTTTAATATAATGTGTTAAGTGTTTTAGGAAGTAGAACAAACACAGCATTGTTTTAGTAGCAGATATATTCAACTTAAGAACTTTAAATGTGACAAGCATACGAATGACTGTATTCATGCTTCACTTTAGAGAACATATCAGCCCACTGGGCTGACATGAAGTAGAAACACGATAATAAGGAAATGGCAGCTGTAGTTCTTGTTTCTGTTCTTGCCATTTAAAGCTAAGCCTGAAAACAAACACAAAGCAGGAAATCTTTGTCCTTTTCTAAATCTGTGAAAATTTTAACAAAGAGATTATTATTTGTTAAAATAGTTTTACTTGGATTAAATGTACAACTTAAGTTCACTAGGGTTCCTATTGTTCTTAGTTTTGCCCAAATTAATCTTAGATCTGGAAATTTGGGAAAAACCCAAACACCGTCACCATTTTCTGGTTATTTGTGTTTTTTGAGGACACTTTATTTAAATGACTACAGCAGCTTAAAAAAAATCATTTCATGAACATTTGCAAAAAGTCAATCTCTGCCAATCTCAAATCGTGAAAATGACAAATGTCATGTTATGACAGCTAACGTGACATTAATAACGAGATTGTTCAGTGAGTAATAGGCTTTGAAAACTGTAAAGATGACTTTATTCTGGGGGGGGGTTTCCCACTAACCGGATTTACTTTGTATTTTGTTACTTCCATTTACTTTACCTAACAAGAAACCTCTGGGAAATATCTTATCTTCGGTCTTCCACAAACTGTAGCTTCACACAAGCTTCATAAATGGGTGAAAGCATGTATTTGTGGGAGATGTTTTCCTCTAAAGAGGGTGTGAGGGAACTGCAGATTTGGACACTTTAAAGGAATGCACCCTGTAAGATTACAGCGGACCACCTGTATGCTTGTGTAAAAGAGCAGTGAAGTGGTTTCATTCAGTGTTATGAGCTCCCCCATCAACAGATTTTCTCAGGGTGTGTATCTCCACTACTCACGCTGTTAGCATTGTTGTCAAACAGACCCCACCACAGAGATGACATGTCTGGTATCAGGTTAGATTAATAGATAAATAAAATTTTTCTTTTCTGTCTAAGTACTTCACCAGAAATAATTTTTTTATCCAGGGATCATCACTGGCAATCATTTCACAAATTATAAATATGCAAATACTTTGTGTCTGACTGTAAACACTCACTTTAATTTTCACATATGTAGAAATACATCACAATATGCACAAATGTGTGTGTCTGAGTGTCTTGAGTGCATAATTTGATTGTGTGTATGTGTGTGTGTTGCGTGGGTGTGCATAATAGATGCTATTTGATTCTCTGGAAGTGCACTCTATGTGAGTGGGTGTTCAAAAGTACCTGACATTCTTTTCTGCATTCGTGCCTTTGCTTAATAATAGAAATCCTCTCTTAATGTTCATCCTGGTGTTTTTTCTTCTTTTTTTTTTTTTTTACTCAAAACATATTATGATATTCTTGTTCTTTTTGCAGGACAGAAAATGAAAGTCCATTGGGTGACAGACTGCTGTCCACAGATGAGCAGGTCACTCTGATCACAGAGAGTTTCACAGTCACCTCCACTGACCAGGAGAAACTGTTGCTGCTTAACAAGAACACCGAGCTCCGCAGAGTGAACAAAGAGGTAAAACATCTCCCTAAAACCTGTGCAGAAGCTCTGCAGGTCAACATATTATTACGGCTGTTGGCGATTACATTTAGTTCTCACCGGAGGCTGGGGGAGGGACGTGGGCGTTATGTGAAAAGTGCTGCAGTGAATGTGGTAAATTATGCAACCTTTGCCTCTGGATTTTAATGATGTTCTCCTTTGAAATTTGAAATGTCACTCATATTCATTCCTGCTCTCCATGTAGAGACAGACTGAAAATGACAGCAGAGATTTTGAAATGAATGATGCTATTGATCACTGCAATGAAAGTCTTTGCTGTAATTTTGCTGATGATGTCGATGGTAATATCCCACAGCTGATGAAGCTTAACGAGGACTGGGACCAGGTATACCGGAGCGCCACACTGGGTCTGCAGAGCAGACTAGAGGCTCTGGAGCTGGAAAACAACGCTATTAAACAGCTTAATAGCCAACTGCTTCTCAAAGTTGAACAACAACAGGTAAACAAAGCAAATATTTAAGCACCCACATCACCACAGCTCACCTCTCTGGCCAGTGAGAGCAGCTGAAGAAGGGAGCACACCTGGGAATTTTCTAATGAACTGAGTAAATGTGGTTTACCGGTGTGATGTCTGTCGCTATCTTTTGAATTGCAGAGTGCGAAGGAGTATTATGAACAGGCTCTGATGACAGAGCTGAAGAAAAACCAGGAGTTGCAAGAGTATGTCAGGTTGCTGGAGAACAGGATTCACCACCCAGAAAAAGATATCTCCTCAGTTAACCAGGTTTTTATCTTATCTGTTTTTATTTGTTTATTTTCTGCTGCCTTGCAAAAGTATTCTTACCTTTTGAGCAGTTTCAAATCAAGTCATGTTACAAACATAAATTTAATCAGCATTCTGTTTGGGGTGGATAATGGACCAGCTCAAAGTGGTGCCTAATTATAAAACATACAATATTAATGGTTTCCCAGTAAGTCCCCTCTATATTGATAACTTGCAAAAATCACAACAACAACAAATTTACTTGTGATGTCCCTTATTTGATTAAAGTATTTAAGTTGTATGGACACACCTTGTCAGATGACAGGCAGTAAGAAAATCTTTTAACGTTAATTTAACACTATATCTATACATAATCATGAACACAGAATACATTGATTTGACAAGGAAAGTGGCAGCATTATGCTGTAAGTGACTTTTTTTTAATAAGGGACAAGGAAGGAAGTCTGAGTTAGAGGGACAGTGGATAGTAGCTACAGTAATATCATGATTTGATCTAAAATCCATTATGCATTTAGATCCAATCACACAAATGTGTTAGAGCCTTGTTAAAAGTTCCGACTTTAATTCAAATGCTGTTGCAAGGATTGAAAAATTAGTGAATAACCTTGTAAATGCATGTAGAGAAATAAAATCCTATTCAATTACATTGAGGTCTGTGGGTCTAACTTGACTACCAAATAAATAAATATAATATAAATAAATAAATATAATAATATAAATATAAAGATCCTATAATAATTTTTCTAATCTGTTTGTCTTTTTTTTTCCACTAAAGGCAACATTTAGCGCTGGATCATTTCCCACCAGCGGTCATATTTCCAGATACAGCCCCTCGTCCTCCTCTTTCCTAGCGTCTCCCATTTCAGAGGCAGTATACAAGGATAAAAATCCTGCCAGTGCCACACTGGGAACACGGGGAAGCTCAAAGCAGGAGGTTAAAGATTTGAAGGAGCAACTGGAAGCTCTAAGATGTCAGGTAAGTCATTCTCCTCAAAACAACTTGAAAAAGGAAGATCATAGCTGATGTTAAATCACTGTTGCTGGGCAAAGGTTTGCATAATGTTCAGATAGAGGCTTTAAAAAGATGGTGAACTGCACCGCCTGGTGGTGCTTCAGGGTGTAATCTACAGGTGCTGGTCATAAAATTAGAATATCATGAAAAAGTAGATTGATTTCAGTAATTCCATTTAAAAAGTGAAACTTGTATATTATATTCATACATTACATACAAACTCATATATTTCAGATGTTTATTTTGTTTAATTTTGATGATTACAAATGACAACAAATGAAAATCTCAAATTCATCATATCCGAAAATTAGAATATTACTGAAGACCAATAAAAACAAAGGATTTATAGAAATGTTGGCCAACTGAAAAGTATGAACATGAAAAGTATGAGCATGTACAGCACTCAGTATTTAGTTGGGCCTCCTTTGGCCTGTATTACTGCAGCAATGCGGCGTGGCATGGAGTCGATCAGTCTGTGGCACTGCTCAGGTGTTATGATAGCCCAGGTTGCTCTAATAGTGGCTTTTAGCTCTTCTGAATTGTTGGGTCTGGTGTATTGCATCTTCTTCTTCACAATACCCCATAGATTTTCTATGGGGTTAAGGTCAGGAGAGTTTGCTGGCCAATTAAGAACAGGGATACCATGGTCCTTCAATCAGGTACTGGTAGCTTTGGCACTGTGTGCAGGTGCCAAGTCCTGTTGGAAAATGAAATCTGCATCTCCAAAAAGTTGGTCAGCTGCAGGAAGCATGAAGTGCTCTAAAACTTCCTGGTATGTGGCTGCGTTGACCCTGGACCTCAGAAAACACAATGGACCAACACCAGCAGATGACATGGCACCCCAAACCATCACTGACTGTGGAAACTTTACACTGGACTTCAAGCAACGTGGATGAAGTGCCTCTCTTCTTTTCCTCCAGACTCTGGGATCTTGATTTCCAAAGGAAATGCAAAATTTACTTTCATCAGAGAACATGACTTTGGACCACTCACCAGCAGTCCAGTCCTGTTTCTCTTTAGACGCTTCTGACGCTGTCTGTGGTTCAAGAGTGGCTTGACACAAGGAATGCGACAGCAGAAACCCATGTCTTTCATACGTCTGTGTGTGGTGGTTCTTGAAGCACTCACTCCAGCTGCACTCCACTCTTTGTGAATCTCCCCCACATTTTTGAAGGGGTTTTGTTTCACAATCCTCTCCAGGGTGCGGTTATCTCTCTTGCTTGTACACTTTTTTCGACCACATCTTTTCCTTCCCTTCGCCTCTCTATTAATGTGCTTGGACACTGAGCTCTGTGAACAGCCAGCCTCTTTAGCGATGACCTTTTGTGTCTTGCCCTCCTTGTGCAAGGTGTCGATGGTCGTCTTTTGGACAACTGTCAAGTCAGCAGTCTTCCCCATGATTGTGTAGCCTATAGAACTAGACTGAAAGACCATTTAAAGGCTTTTGCAGGTGGTTTGAGTTAATTAGCTGATTAGAGTGTGGCACCAGGGGCCATCAATTTTGAACCTTTTCACAATATTCTAATTTTCTGATATGATGAATTTGAGATTTTCATTTGTTGTCATTTGTAATCATCAAAATTAAACAAAATAAACATCTGAAATATATGAGTTTGTATGTAATGTATGAATATAATATACAAGTTTCACTTTTTAAATGGAATTACTGAAATCAATCTACTTTTTCATGATATTCTAATTTTATGACCAGCACCTGTATGTCTCAATCTGGCTCACTCACATTTTCCTATTTTGTGTCTGTAGACTGAAATTTACGAGGCAGATTATCAGACAGAGCACAATGACCACAAGCACACTCTGCAGGAAAACCGGAGGTTAAGGAAGAAGAGGGAGGAGATGCGCCAACAGGTGGCACTTCTGCAGGAACAGGTAATTTTTCATTGCCTTAAATGAAATAATATCAACTGGGATAAGCTATGTGAATTTTGCTTTTACTGACACAAAGAAAATTTGTCTAAAACATGTTTGAGTTATCAGAAATAAGGAGTATTTTTTTCAACATCTATACTTTACCATATTATGCTATAGATTTTCTGAATAGTTTTAGACTAAATCCTTTATTTACTTTTGTGAAATTCCTTTAGCTCAAGATTTACGAGGATGACTTCAGGAGGGAGCGGTCTGACAAACAGATGCTGCAGCGACTGTTGTCACAGAAAACGTCACAAAACAAGGACGCTGTACTTGTCCACCGCTGCAATAATGGGCAGCAGCTGCTGGGGGGAGAACAGAGGGCACAAAGTGAGGAGAAAAGAAAGCAGCACCACCCACTCTGCCCCAAGCACTCCAGCAGAGACAATGAATCAAGCTGAAAGACCAACATATGATATAACTAGCGGCTTGTCAATGAAGACTGACTGATTGGTGTCCTAACCCATGGTTATTTTAAGCTAAATAGACAAGAAACCTTACTTGTATAAAAACATAAATCTGAGTTTGTACTGACATTCTTAGAGAAACATCACTTTTTTAAATTAATTTAACACATTTATCTATTTTCTTAAATATATATTTGTCATTTAAACATGCCTATTAACTCCCTCTAACTTTCTGATTAAGTCATCAGAATAATTCTACAAGAGAATATTCAAACAAAGGCTAAGTTTATTTGATTTTTTTTTACAGACTTTATGAGTAAAGATTTCTTTTTACCTTAATGGTGCAATGGGAAATCACTATACGTTGTAATGGCATTATAGACTAAATTCAGTCGTCATTCTGAATTAAATCTGTTTATTGTTGACTGTTTCTGAGAGATTTAATGCAGTTTTTTCCTGATTTCTAACAGAAGTCAATCTATTGTCCTAAACAAGGACTGCTTCCAAATTGTGCAAATCAGCTGAGAAACTTAGGCAACATCAACATGTGCCATGATGACTGCTGCCTGAAACGTGCCGGAAATAAGAAATGGGGTAGGAAAAAGATGCAGGAGACCTGCTATAGATGGTTTATTTACATGTACTATGTGTAACACATGCAAATATATGCATGTTGATATGTTTCAGATTTTATAAAGGGGAGCTTCAGCCGTTCTTTATATTTTTGTACATTTTGTTTTTTGTAAGCTTTTCTCTAGAAGGTTGTAGACCTAATTTCACTCATCTACACTTCATGTAAGTGTGTGTACATAACATACCGGTGTTCATACAGCTAAATGCTGTCTGGATTCAGCTCACAAGTCCATAATTACTTTACTACCCTGAAAAGAGTCCTTATTGTTTAATTGTTTGCAAAAGTTAAATGAATAGGAGCTAGGAATAGGAGTTACAATGTGAGGTATTCGGAAGTCGTCAGAAATTGACCTTTTTGAACTTTTATCTGAATATGGTTCCTGTAACAAAAGGAAATACTTGAGGGCATTGCAAACTTACAACATTGTTTTTATATATTTTTTTTATCTTATAACAACATATTTTAGTCCTTTTTTGAAAGAGTTTCTGTAATAGGTCTGCAAAAACAGCTGCAAGTGGTACAAACTTGATGAGTTGGAAAAAAAATATACTGTACATGTCATACAAGTCAGAATCTGGTGTGTAATTATTTACATTTATGTCCCCTAAATCAACACTTTGTAGAAGCTCCTTGTGTTACCATTACAACTGCAAGTGTTTGAGGTACGCATGAACAGATAGGTCCATGCATAGTTCGACAGTAACACAAGATTTGTTTTTTTCACCTGCTTACTGAAACATATTCTTATTATAGTTATGTAATAGGCAATAATTAATGTACAGATTTTCAGCTTAACTTTAACCCTTAATAGGGCACTCAGTGAAAGACTTTAAATATCTAAATTTCAAGCAAAGAGTGCACTGCAAATAACTGAAATCTAAGTAAATCCATTTTTCTTAAAATAAGTGCATTTTTTTCTTGAATTAAGCAGGTAAGCGACACACTTTGTCAATGGAACAAGAAAATTTACATTTAAAATAAGGAAAAGAGTGCAGTCTCCTATTTTAAGTGCATAATATCAAATATTCTAATTTTAAGGATAAAAGTGCTCCTTGTTTACCTACTCAAATTTATGGGTAAATACACTTATCTTAAGACATTTTCACAAATTTTCAGATCATTTTTGTAGTGTGTTACTGGAATCCAGGAAAAGTCCTTATTACCTTTGTAACATTCAAAAAATATGGATATTTTGATGGCAAAAATTAATATAAATGTAATAACAAGAAACACCAACTTGCCTAAATTAAGAAAAGTTTTAAGAAAAGTAACAAAAGTGCTTCTATAACAAATTCATGAAAAACACAGAGTGAAAGAAACATATATATATTATTTTTTTTTACAACATAAGCTTAGAGGCTTATTAACCTTTTAACTTTACTTTTTAACTTTTCAATTAGCTTTTTACCTTTTTTCTTGATTTGCTAACTTCATTTACAGATGGTAATATATCATTCAAGGGCTCATTTAATTGGTGAAATGCCCAAATAAGTTGTACAGCCATGTAGCAGGATTTTTGCTGAATGGCTGGATATAGATCTTTTGCTTCTAGACCTCACTGAGGGCCGAATAGGGTGGGTGGGTGGGGGGGTTCATGCTAGTAATCAAAAACGGTAACTTGCCCTATAAAGGGTTAAGCTTATCCACATTTAAACTGAGTAAAGTCTTGATTTGTTTCATCTCTTTAACATGTGTTACCCTACTTTTTAAAAAAGGATCCAAAAGCTAACCTACTTCATGGGCAGCTGTGGGCAATTTCTCCATGTCATTATCAGTTTATCAGTTAAAAACTCTGTGGCCTACTGCAAAGTGTGCGCATGCACACTGTAAGCACAACTCGACATGTACTTTGTGTGGAAGTGCATTAAAGAGTGCAGCAATTCTGAACAATTGAATTAAATCACATTTAGCCTCATCCAACAATGGAAACAACTTCAGTCAGATGTAACCTGTGAAAAATTCCTGTTGTGGTCATGCAAATGTGTGCTAAGGACCATAAATGTATCCAAACAGCACGTTAACTGAAAAAAAGGTGGATTAGCAGATTGATTCAAAACAATTCAGGTGTGTTACAATAATTTATAAGGTTGACAAGCTACGGACAATCATGTTCGTAAATTGCTATGTAAAGGTGTACATAATTTTGTGAAAAGTAGTTTTCTCAAAAAAATCAAATGCCGCAGAACGTCCTATTAACAGATGACACCAACTTCAATTCAACTCAATTATGGCAGGAAAATGGTAAGAACAAGGTTAAAACTTAAAATGAAATGTTTATTTTCAATACTTGCTTTGTCAAGCTGAATTCAGGTTTATACTTTGACTGGGCTACTCTGAAAAAGAAATATGTTCTAATCTAAAATACCCCTGTCTTTAAAATATTTTCTTAAAAATATTCTTGTATTTAGTTCCATCTATCAAATCTCCTTATTAAAATTTTATGATTTACTATAGCAATGAGGAGAACCGTTACAGAGAAGGGGTCCACAGTCTGCCACAGGAAGAACCTTATCGTGATCACCAGCAAGACCAAGGGAATTATAGTGGAATACAGGAAATACAAAAGGTGCGAATGCACTCCTTACTGCGTAGAGGGGGAGGTGGCGACAGGGGCGGAGCTAGATGCAGGGCCAGAGGTGGCCGTTGCCACCCTTAGCTAATCATTGGCCACCCCTACCATTTATTTCCCTCTAATAGAGATGGTGGCAACAGTAATACTCTCAAGTGGAATATTCAAAATATTTTAATTGTTCATATATTAAAAACAAAAACACTGTGGTTAATTATGCACATCAATATAACATTAAAGATGATTAATACAGAATTCAATAGATTTTATTAGATTTTATGGGGTAAAGAGAAAAGTCATCTAGGAGTCTTCAGTGAAATAATAAATTACTCTTTTAATAAAAACGTATTAAATTATCAATTTATGTAGATATTTGTAATTGTAAATATCAATTTTATGCATAATGACTACTGATAAAAACAGGTAAGTAATGACAATCGAAAAGATGTTTGCCCAAAGCTCGAACCTGAAACAATTTTATCCATTATACCTTTTATCTAGAAAGCACGAATGTTAGGGTTAGGAATGTTAGGAATATTATTAGTCTATTTGTTAGCAAAGGCTGTGAGAAAATATAGTTTGTCTTTATTCAGAAAATATAGATGTTTTGCTCATTAAGTTTTCCTGTTGGAACAGTGTAGATTCACCGTGAGGTTTTGGTGCCTATCTGCTTTTGGCCACCCCTCAGTGTACATGGGTTTTTGCCTCGCCACCCTTATAAAAATTTTCTGGCTACGCCTCTGGGCGGTGATGCATACGGACAGCATAAAATTCCTTGCTTTTCAAATTTCCTTCAATCTATTTTGGATTGAGAACATCTCTCGCCTGGTAAAGAGCAGCAATCTTTTTATGAAGTTGAAACTAAATGAACTTTTGTGTTAGCTGCTCATAATCTCACAGGTGAACAATTAAAGGCGGCACGTGACTCAGCATGAAATAAGGATGTAAGAGCTGCAAGGCAACATGATAGGAAGGACTTAGCCCAGGTAATAATTGTAGGATGCAATTTACCAGATGTTCACTGGATTTATACTGCAGAAGTCCGGATGAGGGACACACACATTACCACAGATCCCACCGACTGGGACAATGCACTTGTTCCATTTAGCCTCATTTGCTCTTCTCTGCTTTTGTTTCCCAATATGACATTTTTCAGATTTACTTGTTAGATTGGCAGTTGTATGACCTTCATTCAATTCTCATTCCACGTATCATAGATTAAATATTCAAAGAATACATTAAATCGATGCTGCCCCTTCTTTCTCATAATATTATTTATTATTAATTTTATCAATGGGAGTCTAATCAAATGGGGCTAAAGATTACCAACTGATAACCACTTTGCAAGCTTCATTATACACTACATACTGTATGTATATCAAACAAAATTCCATTAAATAAACTGAATGTGTGATGTTGAAATGATAAAAATTTTAAAAAGTTCAAGGATGATGTTATTAACTGGGTGCAGTTACCTGTTGAGGTCACCAGAGGACAGCATTACCATTTAAGAATGTTTTAATAAAGGGAAACGTAAATGCTGCTGTTATCTTATCAACAGTTGCTTTGTTACAGTTAGGGGAAAATTGTAATAGATTTATTTTTTAATTGTGGCTTGTTTTATTTTGTTAAATACATATAATTGTTTGACTGCTTTAGATTTCCTATTTTTGTTACATTTCTCATTTTATCATATGACACATGCTAATGTCTGAGGGAGCTCCATTTGCAGAGGAAGTTTAAGATCTGGTAAAAATCATTTAACTACATAATATTAGCAACTATAAGGCAGAAATGTTGTCTGAGTCACTTGCTATAGTATAGAGGTTATTACCTTAATCTAACCCTGATCACAGCCATAAATGGTCATTGTTTACTTTTTGGGTTCTTTAACCAGCAGTGACATTTTTCTAATGTATGTATAACAGATATTTCTATCTATTGAGATACAAATGATTTATGATGATTTGTTGTGATTCGTAACGACCCAAGAGGCATGTGTATGTTTCAAAACCACCACACCGACTTTCAAAGCAGTATTTTATCATCCTTAATTTCACAATGCAACCATTTTCCCTGTTTATTTTTATCTTAGAACTGGAGATCACAGCTAGTTTGACAAGTTAATGTGGGAAGCAAGACAAGGCTGAATAGAAAAAAAGAGGTAGAGAGGACATCTCTTCAGTTTTAAATGTTTTCATTTTTGTCTCCTGATCAAGTGGCAAATTCTATCTAAATTTATCAGCTCAGTGGTTGGAGCTCTATTTTTACTGAGAAATTAAAATGAAGAGATTAATAGAATTTGCATTGATGCCCTTTTGTTTTTTTCAAATGTCTGTTCATTACTAAATCTTTAGCACCAGTCATTTAATTTTAAAAAGATGTTTAAGGATTTTCAGCATCGGCTAAGCAGTACCTAAATACACCTACTTATAGTTACTAATAAAGTCAAGTAGACCTTCTCCTTAACTTTTCCATAGTTATCTAAATAATTGAAAACATTTTTTTGAATGTTCAAAATTGACACTTTATAGATTCTTAATATCCTCTGCAGCTGCAAGATGA